TGATTTCCAAATAAATAGATCTACATATTCAATCATGAATTTATTAAACTTCTCTACTTGTTCATTAGTAAGTAATCCAGTATAAAAAGTTCCTTTCTCTATTTCCTTGTATTGATAAAAGGATTCTTTGATATCATATGATTCTGCAGTTGGTTTTTCTAATTCCTGTTTAATTGATATTATTTTCTTAATTGAGATTTCCTCTGTATAGCAGAACAATTCTTCTTGTTCATTTTCTTCATTATCTTCTTCTTTATATTCCTCTTCTTCATATTCCTTCTCACTTTCATTATTATCGACTGGTTCAATTCTTATTGTTAGAGATTGCTGAAATTCAATGGAAATATTAATGATATATTCTTTCTAATATAAAGACATTATTTTATTTTTGTAATTTATAACTGCATCAGTTTTTTCTAACCAGTCATTTCCTACAATTGTATCATAGAAATTTGTTTCAATTATAATTAACATTGAATAAAATTATTTTTTTCATTAATCTAAATGGAACGCCAATAACTATTCCTAAAGATCTTTTCTTTTTTTATTCACATTTATTATGATTATCTTAGATACTTTGTTGCACTTTATATTTAATTCTTTTAGCATTGCAAGTAAAATAATATATCTTGAAGAACCTGAGTTAACAATTAAAAAAATTTCTTTATTTTTGATATGTATTTAATAGTATAAAGCAGTAACTTTTAGTTACTATTCTTGGATCTTCATCTAAAGATGCTCGCCGAAATTCTCTTAAAATAATTTTGTCATATCTCTTACTATGTTTTTAATATAGTTTTGGTTAATTTCAGATTTAGGATTTCATCATATTCCTTACTATGTTTTAATATCATTTCAGCTATTTATTAGTTGTTTTTTTTGGGTTTCGTTCCTTATCTTTATCTTTATCTTCATGAACCTCTTCAGTATTTATTGGTTTAGAGCCAGTATTGATAGTTCATTAGATGTTTCACTACCACTTAGATTATTAATTTCTTTTATTATCGTAGGTATCATAGGACCTTTTCCTTTGTTTAGTCTTCAAGCTATTGGTTTTCTTAAAAGGTAAGATACATTTATTAAGAATTTTGGATTCATCGATAGCAGTTATTCATTTGTTATATTAGTTAGTTGATCAAAAAATTGTTATAGTGTATATGGTTTGTAACTAGTGGAACAGCTAGCAGTTTTCTTTTTTCTTTTAGTTTGTTAATTCATTTAATTATAATATTTTATTGTTGATTTTCTTTTTTTATTATTGAGTCTTCTTTATTAAATACTCATCTCCTTTATTTATTAATGTTTTTTGTAAAGATAAATTTAAGGAAACAAAAGAAGGTTTTGTATCATTATCCTACTGTGATATACCTTTTAGTTTAAAGACTAGCCATTGTTTTCAGCTTTCTGTTGTCTTAATAATTGTGCTAACAATTGTAGTATCTGTATATTTAGATTATTATTTACTATGTTCATCATATTGTTTACTGGTGGTGGTATCAGATTAGTTGGAATGTTATTTAAAGGAATAAAGTTATTTGTTGGTGATAGATTATTTACAAAATTATTTGGTAGTTGTTGCTGATTATTGAATTATAGATTTAAAAGGCAGTTCTTTTTTATATGTTCTGGTTATCTATAGTTGAAGTAAGTAATATTAGTTTACTTGATTGCTAAGTATTATTTTGATTTTGATAATTATTCATTTAATTCTGTTGAGGATTGTGTCTGTTACCTTAGTTATTTTGATAATTTCTTCTATTATTATTTTCTACATTCAAATGTTGAATCTGCTAAGTTAGAATTACTATTGCATTATTTAAAGCATTTATTTGAATAGGGATTACATTTAGTGTTACATATTTATTCATATAGGCTTTAACAGTAGAGGTATTCTTGTATATAAGTTCATATTACTTGGCTTTATTAAGTGTATTTAATCAGGTTTGATCATTAAATGACTTAACTAAAATATGAAGCTTAAATAAAAGTTCACTAACAAGTCGTCTGGCCTTGAATGCATCAAAATATTAGAAGACAAGTAATTCCACTTGCTAATATAATTTGAGTAAAACATTAGTATAGTATCTACAGGTTCATCAGTTTTGCTATCTTCTCCTTTTCAACTTAATAGTCTAAATTTCTATTAAGATTTGCAATCTGAATGTGACTGGATAAGTAATAGTAATATCATTGCCATTATTATTATCTTTCAATGTAGTAATGTGATTAGCATACATTAAAGTAATTAAATTTAAGGAAATTTTAAATGAATTTTTAATAAATTTTTTTATTTTCTTTACTTTTTTAGAAATACATTATAGTAAGTAAATCAAAGTAATTTTTTTAGTGATTTTTTAATTATTTTTTTTATTTTTTTATTTTTGTAAAAAAATCAAATATATTTTTTTTTAAATAAAATATATTGCAATATATATTTTTTTTGAATAATTTAATTATGTAATAATAAAATAAAATTATAAATTTAATAATTAATAAATAAACAAAGAATAAGTTTTATTAGTTTTATTAATTGCTTAATTGATTTTAGGCTATTTTTAAGTTGATTAATAACTGATTTTAAGTTGATTTATACTAATTTTAGGCTGATTTTATATTAATTTTAATAATAAGTACTGATTGATAGCTAATTTTCTATTTATCTAATTTATCTAATCAACTATTAATCATTTATGATGATTTTTTTTGAGTGGCAATTGTATTAGACAACTTTAATTATGATAATGATTGGCAAAAATTAGATTATATTGTGACTAACTTTTAGCACTTTAAAAATATGATAAATTGAATTATTCTGATTAATAAAAGGAGTGATAAAAAAACTCTTTCTTCTCGTTGTATTTTTTTCAAGAATTTTTACTTTAAAAAAGTGTCTATTCAACGGCGGCCACGGCTTAGTCTGCGAACAAAACAAAAAAATCCACCTTTCAAAAATATTCCTCTCTTTATTCCCCACATCCCTCTCTACATAAAAAATTTTGAAATAGTCTAAATTGTGTTGTTTTTTGTTAAAATATTTTTTCTTTACCTCTTTTCGAAAAATTTTTTCTGTTTTTTTCTGTTTTTCTTTTTTGCCTACAAAAAGTAGGTATCAAGGGGTATTTGAACTGATGATCATGATCGACATACTTTGGATAAACAAATCTCACATAATGATCCCCTTTCCCTTTCTAAACAATACACTCTCTTTTAATTGGCCTCTGCCTTTCTGCAGATTTTCTGTCATCAAAGGTCACATGCAAATTCAGCATAATTTTCTACATGATGTGATGAAGCTTGCTTTTAAAACGATCCTAATCCTTGGTTTGGTTGGCGTCTGAAAACCGTTGATTCTTTCCTTGCCTTGGCTGGCTGGCTTGGTTCAGTTGGTAGTAATTCAAAGTGATTTCACCCTTAGATACTTTCTTGCTGACCTTCTATGGATGTAGTTTAATTTCGTAATGGATTCCTCGTGATATTTTTTCCATACTTATGAATCTATAAGTATGAAGAGCCTTTGTTTGAACCTAATTACTTGGACGCACCTTCTTCTGCCGGGTGGTTGCTTTAAGCTGGAATTAACTAGAGTTTAACTAGGACTTATAAAGTTATTTTTTTTAGTTGTTTGTAAATTTCTATTTGTGACAATTCCCTACTTCAGATGTTGTTTTTAGTGTTAGATTTTTCTTTGAGGAAAATTAGGGTTCAACAGATATTTAGAAATTAGATGCTTTCTATCACTTTATTTTCACCTCCTTCAGGGGGTGGCAGTGATCAGTTAACTCAAACGAGTTTGAAATAGAATCACAAGTAATAAGTTGCGTATTTTAGTATTTTTTTTAGAATTTTTTATTTTTTCTTCAATTTACAATACAGTCATACCTCTCTATAGCGAATTTTTATATAACGAATTTTTTGGACAACTATATTAATTTACCCTCGTTATAACGAACTAGCCAATCAAATTCTTTAAAAAATTCACTATAGCTCTATAGCGAAGTTGAAGTTCAGGACATAAAATTCGTTATATCAAGGGTTGACTGTACAAATAAAGTACTGCATCTAGACTGCATCGTTAACAATTCAAAAAAAAAAAATTATTCTGATTAATAAAATTTAATATAATTTATAAATACTAACTATAGATGTGAAATAAGTTTTTCATATTTCTTTCTAAAATACAAGATATAAATATTTTTTAATTATTAATTTAGTAGGAATTGTATTAATACTTATTAGTTATATATTTCTTTGAAATGGTAAATAAAATACTTTTGTTTTCAAAGTTAAGCTATTCTGAAAACTTAATAGATATTTAAATGAATAAAGTAAAATTGTCTTATTTTTCAAAAAATTAGCTAAGTAATTCTGTATAATTTTGCAAAATTCATCTTTTATAAATAAATATTATTAAAAATCTATTTTTTTTAATATTCTAAATAAATTTAACATTAATATAATTTTATAAAAATTTTATTATATGATCCCTAATGATTATATAGCTTAAACTTTTTTGAAACCTTAAAATGACTTTTTCTTAAATCTGAAACTTGATTAAAACTTCATTAAGTTTAGTTTATAATGTAAGGTGAGGCTTAACATGGTAAACATGGTAACTGAAATTTCAAATGTTTGTAATTAAGTGAGTTTTTTTTTTTTTTTGTTTTAAAAAAACTGATATTAAGATTAGACCAAATTTTATACTTTGTAATGTGACTAAGCAAACTTCACAAATTATATAGTGAAACTTGATTTGCATTAGAATTATCAATTATAAAATACATAAAAAATTTCGAAAACGAATCATATTTTTTTTTTATATTACTTCCTAAAGTAAATACTATATCTATATTATACGTTACACAACCATCTTATTATTTAAACAAAAAAAAATTTTTTTTCTCAAATTTAAATTTAAAGAAATTTACCATCTTTAATTTTGATTTATGTTTTTCAATAATATGGAAATATACTTTCACAAATTAAAAAAGTCCATTATTTCACTATATTTTTTTCGTGCGCTTGCCTTTTGACATTTTAGTATCTTCACTCATTTTTCTTTGCGCAAGACTTCGAGTAACTACTTGCACTTCCTCATCTTCCTCGCCATCTTCATTGTAATTCTCGTTTTCACTTGAATCTACCAATTCTACTGCATGTCCATTTGCATCTCCCTCGTCATCTTCAGTATCTATATTATCATCTTCGGGCCCTTCATTATTTCTCAATTTTCTTGTTCTTTTAGACAGTAGCTCCTTCTCCGCTTTACGAATATGTCTATTAAGAAGACGCCATTCTTTCATTAAAGATCTAAGTTCTTCCTCTGCATCATCATATAATTTTTCCTTAGCTTCAGGATCTAATGTGGGATCATCAAAATTAAACTTAGCAATATTAATCTGAGCTTCTTCACTCAGGTCTTCAATGGTTAAAGGGGGTGAGGTCAGTGGAGGTGAGGTCAAAGGTGCTGTAGATGGAACGTTCTCTTCCTCAATAATTTCTATTAACGGTTCATTGCCTTGTTCGATTTGTTCAGAATGTTCCGGTTCGGTTGAACTTTCAATTAAATTTTCTGCTATTTCCATAGGCACCTCCACTATAGTTTCAACCATTGCAGACGTTGTATCAGGTGAAGTTTGCGGTAGGACCGTAGGTTCTTCATCCATTGATTCCCCATCAGAAGTACGTTTTATCTTACGATTTCTTGAATCATTATTAGAATTTTGTTCTCCATCATCTGATTTATCTGTCAAACTGCTGCGTCGCCTTTTTGAACTTTTATTTGACTTTTTTTCTTCTTCTTCATCTACAATTTCAGCTTCCATATTGTCATTTGAATCTTTTATTGTATCATTATTAGTCAGGAAATCGTTATTCTCACTTTCAGATGTTCGCCTACGATCTAATGATGGTGGTTTGGTTGGATTTTCTATATATACATTTATAGCGCTCTCTTCTTCAGATGGTTCACCTTCATGAGAAGCTTGAGAACTATTATTCCCAATATTTGTTATTGAAGATTTGCTCCTTGTTGAAGAACTGTTACGACGTACTGGAGACTTAGTTTTCCTTGGACGAATTCTTGATGGAGCTATTACTTCGACTTCTAAACTTTTATAATTGGACTTTGATCCACTTTTAGATGTACTTGCAGTACTTGTTCTTCTCTTGATATTTGACGTTGTGGTTGGAACGGGGATAGGTACTTGATTTTCATCTATTGGCCTTTTCCAATAGTCCCATTTAAAAGATTTATTTGGTTCTCCTTTCCCTTTACATTGCAATGCCCTACGAACCCCAATATGACTTGAAAATTTATCACAATTATTTTTAAATGAGAGATAAGGCTCTTCATCTGGAATAAAGTGTTTAAGACCTCTCTGTTCGACTACCGAGCTTTAATGGACAATTAGTTAGTTATAGTTCTACGAGTATAATATAAAGTATGAATATTTTTTAACACATACTATGTCATATCTTCAAAATATCTTACAAGAAATTTCCCGGCAAGCAAATTTTCTTCAAGTTTCCCATCAACGTCCATCGACTCGTCAATTTCATTATTGGGAACGATCTATTTTAAACATATATTTTATTTATATTACTATATTTTTCTAGTTTGTATAACATAATTTTATGAATTTATATTTATACTGTACCATCGCTGGCCACCAAAATTCTGCTTTATCATCCAATGGATCAACTACATTAAAATTCAAATTTAGTGTCGAGTAAGAATTTGGTTAGTTGCGCCACAAAATTTCAAAAATAATTACCGAATACTATATCACGACCTTTGAAAATGTTTTCTGATTCCTCATCTTTTGATCGTGTTGCCTTACGTTGAGACTTTCGTGTCTGAGGCTTTTTTTGTGTAGATATCACACTAGACCTTGTACTTCGTGTAAATTTACGAATAGAAATACCTTTACGTGATATTTACAAATTTGTCAAATATTTAAAAATTTTTAATAAAAATGTTCATAAATTAATTTACCTCCTTCATCATCTCCGTCGGCATCATCTTCGCTTTTGACTGCCTCCGATTTTTCGTTACTCTCTTCTGCTTCTTCGGAATTATTGTCATTTTCCGTTCTTTTATCATCGCTTTTAGGGCTTTCTTTAGTCTCTTGGGAGTCCGTAATAATAGGTCCCGGAGAGTCATGCAATGGTGGTTCTGGTTCAAGTGCTTCACCTTCCAAGATAAGGTCTTCTTCAAGTTGAATGTGTTCTTGTTCGACATATTGTTCATCCTTGTCAATTTGCATTTTTGTTGTATTAGTTTCGGAACCTTCTATTCTCGCGCTCTGGTTCTTTTGCGTCCTCGTTATTCGTTTCATGCTCGTTCTTTCGTTTTTTGCACTGTGATTGGGGGAAAAAGCGCTTGTTATTATAACAGCTGGTTTGTTTGTGAGCTAATGGAAAAACTTTTACAAAAGAAATGTTGAGTTTATGTGGGCAACCTATATCTATAGAAAGAATTGATATTAATAATATTGAACACTTATAATGCTTGCCTTGTTTTATCTACCAGAGCGGAACTTTGTTTTTTGTTCGCTTCTTGATGTTTGTGTTTTTTGTTAGCTTCTTGTGGTCCGTCGGCGCGTAGGTAAAGTGTTCCTTTTTGTCTCTGACCAAAAAACTCCCAGTGTAGGCGTTCGCTTGTACAAAACCACGGTTTATTAGCACCGTTCTGTAGACAAAATAAAGAGTAAATATAAAAGTTGTATTGAAGAGGATAAGTGAAAATATTAACGAAACGATAAAAAAGTAAGCTGCGGTAATTGTCAAAAAAGTTGAAAATCTCACAGGAGAAGACGACACAGAGGTCATAACTGTGTTCACGCGCTACTTTTATGCGGAATAATATTTGAGCAATTAAATAGAGTAATTCCGCTTAAAACATAGATGGCGAGAACCCTTGTTTCGTGGCTGCAAAAGGAAGAAGGAATAACTAATGGGCAGTTTTTTTTAAATACGTTTTATACCTATCGATGAAATCTCTGATTGGTCAGGTTAAACTTTTTTTTATAATGGTACTAAATGCAGATAAACAAATTCATCAATAATATATCTTCGTGATGACTTTATCTTTGATATTGGGATCTTTAAAATTAGTGAAAATAAAAATATAACTTAAAGTTAATAACTTAAAAGTTTTAATATAAGGAAAGAAAGATTAAAGTTCGAAGAAAGAAAGTTTTTTTTTCCAATTAATAAATTCATTTTTGGTTGGATCGACGAATCAACAGGAAACTTTGCCGTGGATGTCGGTCGATTTGAAGGTTGATTTGATTGGCCCAGATCTTTTCGTACGACACCCCGAACCTTTTGATTTTAGTATCAAAAGTTCGAGATTATTTGAACATTGTTTCTCGCGTTTTTCTTTTCCTTTTTTTTAAAATAATATAAAAAATACAGTTTACAGTTTCAACTTAATATTGTTTGCTAAATTTGGTGATTAAAAAACGGGACCCTATAAAACGATCGACAATAATTTATCTTAATATGGAAACCGAAATGCCAAATTAGAAATAGACTTATCTTAAAAAGTACTTATTTTAGTTTTGCATGCTTTATTTATATAATATTTATTTATTAAAAAAATCATTGAAACTATATAATATATTATTTATATTTTTAAATATGAACATATTGCAACAAATCAGACAAAGTGAATATTCTATTATGTAACATAAGTAAGAGGCTAATATAACTGAAAATTAACTAATTTAACTAACAACATTTTGAATTATCACAACTATAATAAATTTATAAATTACAGATTTAAATTAATATTATGTTAAAATATGACTAACATTAAAGTGATTGAAATAAATATAAAGTTATAACATGTTTAATATAAAAATATCTTTATATAAAAATAAACTAATTTATATTAAGTTTATCATGAAATCAAAGAATTTTAGCACAATTAGAAGCATTTTAAAGAAAGCTTAAGGAGAAAAAATTGCTTCTTATATTTTTAAAATAAGTAATATCAAAATTCTCAAGGAATATCTAGATAAAGAAAAAATTACTTATAAAATTTATCAAAAATAAAAAATAATAAATAATAAGTTGATCTTAATTCCAAATTATGATGAATTAGAAAAAAATAAAAACTTGAAATATAAAGTAAAGAATCTAAATAAATATTTTTTTTTTATCTAAAGTATAATTTGATGAGTAGCAAAACCAATATTAGCATCAAAGATAAAGATAAGTTATCTTTTGCTATTTTCAGAATTTTATATTCTAATCTACTTATTTTTTTTAAATAATAAAAGTTTGAATTTTCTTCTTAGTTTTTTTTGACTTTACTTTACTAATATAATTTTTGAGTTTGCATAATCTATTTTTTTTTTGTTTTTTTAAATAAATCTGATAATTCTTTGGTTACTAAATAATCTCTTCTGCTTATTTCTTAATCTTTATTTAATAAACCATTTTTCAATCACTTTATTTGCAGTATTGTGTTTTAATACTGTTTCAACAATTTGTTACTTTTTTCATCTCATAGCTGCATGTTGTGTTTTTTTTCAGCTTCTTATTACTCTATTCAACTTCATTCTCTAATTCTTCTATTTTTGCTTCTAATTTTTTTTTGGATAAGTAAAACTAATACTTTTTTTATAATTTTTTGTTTCATTTTTACAATATTTTTCAGAATAAATTCCTCATTAAAAATAGCTAACTATTTCAATTTCAAATCTATTCTTTTTTAGGTAACTTACTCAATAATTTTTAGGTCAAGTAAATCTTTCCAAAGTTTTTAAAATAGTATCAGTATATTCTGCATGTTTAGTAAAATTGTAAACTGCATTTCAAATTCTTAATTCAAACTTTTTTTCTTTATCTGTTAATTGTTTTTTTAAATTTTTATTTTTTTTCAATAATTCTTATTTTCTTTTAATAATTCTTTATTTCTTTATTTAAGTTCTATTATTATTACATTTGCTATATTTTTTTTATTTTTTTTAATATACTTATATCCTTTTTTAAAGAAATATTATTAAGTATATAAACATTTTAATATTTCTTTTTATTTAAAATTTAAAATTAAAAACAGGAAAAGCCAATGAGAAATAGTAAGAAAATTAATGAGTATTAAAGTTATAAAGAGAATTTAGTTCAAATATTTTATTAAATATCAATATAGATTAGTTATAAATAAATAATATTTTTAAATTTATCTAATAAATAAGCAAATGTTTTGATAAAGATATTCTTGTCTTTTGAAATCCAAAGAAGAAGAGGTTACTATTAAAATGAAAAAAGATTTAATATTTTTTAATAAATTAAATTTAATAAAAGTATCATTAGCAATCATTTGAACTTTGATAACTTCAGATTAAGCTACTTTAAATACTTTAAATAGAAAATGCTAATACTTTTATATACCATTCAATTTTCTAAAAAAAATTCCTAATACAGAATTAAGTTTTAAGTATTAAAAGCTTTTTTCATTATCATAATAATGAACTTTGCTTAATCTAGCTATACTTGATTTTTTTATGATCTTAATAATATATTTTACATAATCTACTATTATCTTTTTATAAAATTTTTTAATTAATCACATTTGAATTTAGTATATTCAGGTACCATAAAATATAATTTAATACTTTTATAATAATCATAAATTACTAAATATAGATAAAATTAAATAGTAACATTGTTTCTATTCTCATAAGTAATCTTTAAATGTTTTTTACTTTTATTCAATTTTTTTATTCTATTAAATACTATACTTACTTATGTACTGTTAGAGCTTTTTCCTATAATATCATTTTCATTAAAAACATAATTAATCTATTTGTATACTGCTTTATCTTAAATATTAAATAAATATACTTTACATAGACTGAGATAATAAAATTTTACTTACTTGTTAATTAAAATAGAAAATATAAATATCATATCTAAACAGTAGTATTAATATCACAACTAAAATTGCTAGACAAAATTAAGAGTTTAGACAGATGTCTAAATGGTAAAAGTAAAACTTGGTTAAATTATATTAAAACCTTATTAAAAAATTTGCAAAATTTGAAAAAAGGTAAAACTATATCAAAGCTTATAAAAATGGCAAAACTATATCAAACACTTAGTAAAAATTTAGCAAAACTAAAGGTTTAACTATTTTTCCAAATCCAAAATGAGTTTAGACAAGCAACCTTAGTCATAATAATTAACTTTACCTCTTATCATAAAATACATATCTACTAATACTAATTTTCTTTGTTATTCTATTAATTTCATATTTTTGTTATAATAATTTCTCTCTAATTTAGTTTTAACTAAATATTCTTTATACTTTTTTAGTAAATCTTTCACTTCTTTTTTTTTGTGAGCATTATATTACAAGCTATTCTAAAAAATATTAGCATATGTTACATAAATATGTTCTTAGATTTATATAAGGTATTAATTGATATTATAATTTGTGAAATGTATTATATTTTAATAATTTCAATATGCTATTATCTTCAAATCTGTGATAAAATCATAATAAACTGATTTATCCCTTAAAAGATAATGATTTTTATTCAATTTTAGTCATGATTTTTAATTAATTATTATATAATATTCTATATAAAAACTTGCAATTTTTTTTTAATTTTTAGTTAAAATATATTATAAAATATATTATAAATCTATTATTTTTAAATAAAATTTCATTTTTAATTAAATATATACAAAATTTTCAACTTTAAATTTACAATTTTTTTATAAATAAATAATATTTAAATATATAAATAAATGTTTTAAATATAAATTTGGCAATTTCTAATTGTACATGCAGTGTACAAATACAGATCATGTGATCATATGTTATATCATGTGCAATCATTTTTTATTTTTCAATTAAACCAATGAAAAATAAATGTGCCTAAATAATATTTTGACAAGTTTTTGCATAATGATCATACTGCTTACATTTACTGCATTTCTGACCCTTTGAATCTTCTATGTTATTTGAAGCACTGTAATCTTCTATTATATTAACATTGCTACTATTTTTTAGAACCCACCTTTCCTTATGTAAATCCTTTTTAACACTCACTTGTAGTCTTTTTGGAGGTCGTCATTTATGCTTGATAACAACAGGATTATTAATATCAGTTAAGTTTTCCAGTTCCAATCTACTCTGTACATCATAAATAAAGGCCTTGAAAATATTTAACAGTTCTTGCTACATATCGGCTTTAATAATATAGTCAATAGTCTTCTTCGATAATCTGGATAATTCTGCATACACAGTTTTAGATGATTTTACAGATGATTGGGATGATTAAGAACCATATGAATCAAACTGAATGAAAAAGAAATGTTAGAAGGTAATATGTTTTTCAAATGGTATGTTATTTTCTGATTGTGTCTTATCACATATTGGGATAAAAGAATGTTTTTGCAGAAGATCGTTCAGTTCAACATTGGGATTCAAGTACCATCGATTTGGGATCATACTTATATGAAAGATGACAAGTCTAAAGTAGATACCAATACGGAAAAAATATCGACATACCAACCCCTTATTAATCAAAAGAAGGTAGGTACATAGATGTATACCTTCATCAAGCAGAATTATATAATGTCCAATTCCCTATGTATCAGTTGCTCGTACGTTCCATACTTCAAAAATTGTATCTGTTGGTAAATTTGAGACCAATGATCAGAAAAGAACTTGCCTTATATCCTGTTCCTGTTCTCTTATTTCCATACTTATTTCTTCTTCATCAATTTCTATCTATAAATGCAAAGGTGTTATAACTTAATAAAATTTGATTACAATATTAGACACAGCAGTTTTTTCTACCTAAACTAAA